CACACACACACACACACACACACACACACACACACACACACACACATTTCCTGCTCCTTCTCTTTCTGTCTGTTCAGCTGAATTCAGATTTAATCTAACTCAGCTCAGTTCAGCTCAGTTGGTGCTTTCTTGGCGTGAAATTACATAACTGATAAGACAGAGGTTGACAAAACGAATTAGTACAGAACAACAAATGCATACATCAGTGACATTATGGTCAGTCTGTAGTGTGCAAATCTGAATCATTTACATAAGGAAGGTCTAAATAATATGATTTATTTTAAATAATATGATTTATTTTAAATAATATGATTTATTTTAAATAATATAATTTATTTTAAATAAATCGGTCAGTTGAAGTGAAATCGGTAAAAGAACAACAACAATGCTGCAGCACAAATTGATGAAGAAAGACACATGTGCTCAGCGGCAGGGATTCGTAATCGCCTTTGCGTTTTATTCTAATTGTATTTAATTGTTTTACAAATAATGTATTATTATTAATATTAGTAGTAGTAGTATTATTTTCAGCATCATTATTATTAACAATAATATAATGTATATGTCTACATATGTTGTATTATTATTGAAATAATCAATAATATGTTTTTATTTATTAATGTAGATATTTATTTATTTGCTTTTCAGGCACGTTCAAGTCAAGTAAGATCAATTACTGACTTAATGTCGGATTAGGAAATTGGCCTAAACTGAATATATACATATTAGTTCCCATTTTCTGCTCTTTAGTGAAAAGATTTCGCACATTTCCGACCCTGAGTCTCACACCACTCTTGTTTTAAAGTCCATCTCTTTGATTCGTGTCATCTTCAGGAGAATTTATCGTCATCACTAAAAAATGTGTCGAAAAGTTATTATGTTACCCCAAACTCCTTCAGCTACAGCAGAGAATACGGTTTTACTGGCATATAGCGAGGGAGGTTGATAGACAGGAAAGATTTCAGGATAAATACGAGAAAATAAACAAAAAACAAAGCGCTGTTGTCTCTCAGTTGGACCGCTTCTCATCTTTTAGAAAACAATTCCACAAAGCAAGCTGTTTCCCTTCAGCCGAGAGCCAGGAAGGATTTCAGATCTCTTGTCTGAAGCAGAGCGTCGGTGAGATCCTTCCATGTAACTGTCAGCCTTAAATGATGGCTGACTTCCTGTGAGCTGCAGGAACACTAATAGTCTCCATCTGGACACAGAGAAATCTTCCCAGTGTGTTTGAACAGCAGGAAACTTTACACCTACGTTAGGTCAGAGGATGACTTAAACATATGTGACTTTCCGTGTTCACCTGATTTGGTACTTTCCCAGAAGAAGAAGAAGAAGAAGAAAAAAAACTCTGTTCGGAGTTGAGAAACAAACCGGAGGCGACTTCATGCGGCGAATGTACTCTCCTCCTGTCAGGTAGACCATACGGTGAAGCTCTGCCAACGCTGTAACTTACTTTCATGAGAATTTGCAGCTGCATTGCAAAGAAATCCTGCCAATATTGTCTGCCCAGTTTTATAGGTGGAAATAACAGACAGATATACTGAATAAAGACAAGGCCAGAGCTGAGAGATACCTGAAACAGATTATGTTCATATGGCAGGAGGTGGATCTAGACAAGACTGACATAACAACTCTGGCCCTGCATGGTCTCCACTGCAAACATACTGAGTTATAGCATCAAGGAAGCCACCTATAAAGTAAGATTGCTAAAATGGGAGGGATCTGCACTCAGCTATGCCATGGAAACAGAATCCTTAAACAGAAAGACTTGTACTAAATAAAAACCCAGGGGCGAAACTGAACTCAAAAGAACAGGGATTCAAGTCGAAGATACAAAAAACCTGAACAGAGAGAGACTTTAAAAACAATCTAGACTACTTTTTATCACAATTGTCTGACTCTCTTTCCCCCTATGAGCATGTATCTGAGGTAAAGGTGTATATGAGGCCTAATCTCCCTTAATGGGATTAATGTTAGGCAACCATTTTAATTTATTTCTGGGGTTTTCTGTGCTAAAGCAGAATCATATACAGTATTTCATTCTTTCGTATGAACTGATAAACTCACAGGATTTGCATATCTTACTCTACGTATTGACTACATTTGTCAAGGGATGTAACTGGAATAAAAGGACAATATTCCTTCCTGAAACATAAAGTAACCTTCAAAGGAAACTCATGTTCTCCAGGATTACAATCACAAAAAGTTATAGTTAATATTCTTTTTGTATTATTATGAAAACAATACAAAACAAAAATAAAGCAAAACTACTATGTAATGTTTAAGCAGCAGAACATCTCAGTTAAGTTAGACATCATGTTTGGACTTAAATTAGGTACATTCCTTACATTGTTTAACTTTAAATGCAAAAATAAGTGAACCATGACTTTTGGTTTCACACGAGACATGAACACCTGGAATAAAGTCTGCTTTGAATAAATCATAAATTAACCCTGAACTTCTCCTTATGTGTTTTGAGTTCAGGCTTTACTTAGTATTGTTAAGATATGTACAGTATATATAAATATTAACCGGTAACACACTCCTTTCATCCTCAATGACACATTGGACCCTGCACGGCAAACAACAAATGATTTTTCTATCATGTTTACTTTGAAAGAGAAGAGAAACACACGCTCACAGTTGTAAACAAGTACAGATTGAGTCTTCGATGAAAGAAACAGGTCAACATTTCCAATCAAAGCTTTGTTTAGTTGATGGCAGTTTAGTGTCCAGCTCTTGCAGGGGACAGCAAATATATCAAACAGAAATGACCTCACAAAAAACCATTTTAATTTTGGTTGTACTGAAAGCCTTGTGTAGACATTTTTTGGGAAAGAAAAAAGATTTAAGAGGTAAGATTGAGTGCATGCTGTAAAAGATAAGTGCATGTTGTTAGATTTATACGAGCTAATCCATGCTCACCTGGGGTCACAGTGACCTTATTATAATGGCATCTCTACAGTCTCTCAAACTGGCACCAGAACATTCCCTGCGAAAAACTTCCATGAATAAGGACACTTCACTTTCTTTAACCAAACTCATTCTAGTACATATTTTTATACACATTATTTCATATTTATACTCTGTTATTTCCAAATTCAAAGACAAATCTCAAAGGTACAAACCCGTTTATTTGCTTCGTTATTAAATCAGAATGTTTGTTGTTTATTTGGACAAAGAATTGGTGTATATGGTGCATACATAAACACAGTAAGAAGGATTAGGCTATCAAAGATTAGCATATATCAAAAGGTATGAAAAACTAAAAAGGAAAATAAATGTATAAAACATAGACAAAAAAGTTCATCTCAAATATAAAGACAAGGTCACTCCGCAGACGTGTTGCATTAGGTCGTAGTTGAAGTGAAAAAGTGCATAAAATAATTGATTAATGATTTTTTAGAGATAAAAAGGCTTGATTTATATTCTAGGAAATGCATCCTAACTATTGGCTCAGAGCATCGAGGAGCTCATACTGACATTCCCTTGATGTAAATTAAACTATATCAATCCATCTCCCTCCTCTACCTTTTTTCAAAAGTCTTTCCTACTTTCAAGCAAGAACTTCCCCTTGTTTATCCTG